AGTGAGCAAAATAAAGGGTTCAGTTCGACATTCCAACCATCCGAATAAGGCCGAGCGTACAACAGCTGAAACGTTGTAATAAATATGGCGACAAAGATGAAGACAATTGTCCGAATAATGTAAATAATGAACTAGATGAAAATATACCTAAACCTGGACAGCAAAACAATAATATACCACTGTAGATTAAATAAAGGTTTGAGTTAAAAATTTCCTGAAGGTTATATGGATTGACAATTGAAAGTTGGAGGGCATGACAGGCAAAACATTGTGATAACACAACAAAGATGTGGACAATAGTCTTTGTGTATATAAATTAAATAATAATAACTCCTTATCCCAGATTTCAGATGTGAACTATTTTGCTTTCATCTTGACAAGTTCTGCATTGTAATATATTGCTTTTGCACAAAGAGGTCTGTCATTAACTCTTAATGTTTTCAGCTTTGCCATTATACAAAAAAACTTTGAAATGTTTTCCCTGTCTTCTTATAAACTACATCCGCATCCTGGTTAAGACGATAAACTATGTCTGACAGCAAGGCCTCTAATCAGGAGGTTTTGAGGAGTGTGGAATCACCTCGTAATTGTTGGCACTCCCAGGTCCACCCTGACCTGGCATGGTAGCACCTGTTAGGGTCCCACCCATGGGCAAATAGTTAACCCCCAACCTGGGGTCAAAACACTATGAAAGTATAAAAATAGGTTTTAATACCAGCAATAAATTTTTGAAAAAAAAATTTTACCAGCAATACATTTTTGGAGAAAATATTACCAGCAATAAAAATCTTGTCAGCATTAAATAACCCACTGAGATTGATATACCACAAACCAAACCAGACCAGACTTGCTTTCTCTCACATCCCAATATGCAGTCATGTCACACTGCATTGGGCTTTTTATGATATGCATATAACACAGTTGGTAGCTCAGGGATTTCAGCATAATGGCCATTTAGCTGATTAAATGGCAGAATACCTAAAGTTAGTGCCATTAGCATTAGAAAAAAAAGTCATATTTTAATCATTATGAATTTTTAACTTGAGTTTCTGTCATCCAAAGTCCTTTTGTTATTTATTTATTTTTTTTGTAACACCCAAATTGTTCGTCCTGGGTAAGACATTAAACTAATCTGTGTCCTGTGTAAGACAATAAACTACGTCCAGCAGCAAGGCCTCTGATCAGGAGGTTTTGAGGAGCATGGAACCACCTCTTAATTGCTGATATTCCCAGGCCCACCCTGACCTGGGGTGGTAGCACCTGTTAGGGTCCCAGCTATGAGCAAATAGTTAACTATTACCAGCAATACATTTTTGAAAAAAATTATTACCAGTAATACAATTTTGAAGGAAAAATATTACCAGAAACAGATTTTTGACAAAACAAAATATTACCAGGATTAAAAGATGTTGTCGGCATTAAATAACTCATTGAGGTTGATATGCCGTAAAACAAAATAAACCAAACCAATCTAAACCAAAGAATACATATTCTATTCATATTAAAAATATTGTCGGCATTAAATAACCCATTGAGGTTGATATACTGTAAAGCAAAATAAACCAAACCAAATTGTTATTCTGTGATGATAAAGCAAGAAGTGCAATGACTGCTAAGAACAATCCACTCCCCAAAATTTTTAGACAAATCTCACAGATGTATGCTGGGATTTCTTCCTAAGTAATGAAAATGGACTAATTGTCAGTTTTATCTTACATATTGTTCTTTCTTGTCTTAAAGTCAGAATGCTATAATCAATTGACTGTATCCCTTTTGCATATGAAGACAGTTCTTACTTTGTTAACTTTTGGCCTTTTTGCTCTTGCTTTGGCTAGTTTTGACTTGCATATATAGTGTTTGCTTAGTATTATTTGGGCCTGTTATTTTTTTCTTATCATTTATTAACAACTTTGTCAAATACACTTAACCATGGCTGATTATTCTACAAAGTATAAACCACTATAAAGATTTAAACTCACATCTCTTACATTTAGAAGCCTCTCTCTCTCTCTCTCTCTCTCTCTCTCTCTCTCTCTGTAGCAGCACCTTAATAATTAGGCTACCAAGATCAAATGTTCACAGTCACTGAAATTTACTAATATATTCTTTTATGTGCTATGCTCTGCTCAGGTTCATAGTTTTCTACAGCTTCCCATCCTTTGGAGCTTTAAGCAATGTTTGTCCTCCTACTCCCTGTTTTGCCATTCATTTACATAAACTTGTTATGTTACCTATTCACTTTTATTCACTCTTCATTTCTCTCTGCTACTGTTGCCTTTATTATACCCTGTGAATGTTAACTTTTCCAAGCTCTTCTCTCTCATGTGTCCCAGAAATTTCAACGGTCTCTTTTTAATTGTAAGTACAAGAAACTTTTCAGTTTTATTGTTCTTAAAACTTCCTTATTATTCACATGTCTTGTTGATGGCATTCCTATTCTCCTGTCATCCTGGGTATGACAATAAACTACATCCAGCAGCAAGGCCTCTGATTGGAAGAT